CATCTATCTATCTATCTATCTATCTATCTATCTATCTATCTATCTATCTATCTATGTCTATGGCTGGATGGGTCTTTGTGAGGAGGACTTTGATTACATTTTCTTGCCCTGATGAAGGGAGCTGGAATGGATGGCCTTAAGTATTTTCTGTTGGTCATGGGGGTTCTGTGTGGGAGGTTTGCCCTGATTCTGTCGTTCGTGGGGTTCAGAATGCTCTTTGATTGCAGGTGAACCATAAATCCCAGTAACTAAAACTCCCAAATGTCAAGGTCTATTTCCCCCAAACTCCATCTGTGTTCATATTTGGGTGTATTGAGTGCTTGTGCCAAGTGTGGTCCAGATCCATCATTGTTTGAGTCTGTAGTGGTCTCTGGATGTAGGTGAACTACAACTCCAAAACTGAAGGTCAATGGCCCACCAAACCCTTCCAATATTTTCTGTTGGTCAGGGGATTCCTGTATGCCAAGTGTGGTTCAATTCCATCGTTGGTGGAGTCCAGAATGCTCTTTGAATATAGGTGACCTATAAATCCCAGCAGTTACAACTCCCAAATGACAAAATCATAATTTTTTGAGTGATGGTCACTCCTTGTGGTGTGAGACATTTTTTTGCCAAATTTGGTGTGCTTTCATTCATTGGTTCTTTTGTTTTTAAGGCAGTCATTATGCACAGAGCATTTTTATGGAGGAGACCTCCAAGGGCCATCTAGTCCAGCCCCTTCTGGCATAAGGGAAAAACACAATCAAACCAGTCCTGAGAGATGGCCATTCAGCCTCAGTATAATACTACTACTACTAATAATAATAATAATAACAATAATAGAAGAATCCTAGTATAGAAGAATCCTAGTATAGAAGAGACCTGAAGGGGCCATCCAGACCAGCCCCTTTTGGGAAATGAGAGAAGCACAATCTAACCACTCCTGAGAGATAGCCAGCTTCAGGTTAATAATAAGAATAAGAACAACAACAACAACAACAATAGCAGTCCACTTACATCTGGAGAACACTGTGAACCAACAGAAAGATGGCAAAATTTGAACACGGTGGAGTTTGGGGAAGACCTTGACATTTGGGAGTTGCTTGTTTGGGGGGGGGGGCAACGAGCCCTTCGCTCTTTCACCCCACGTAGGACAGAAGGGGAAAGAAGGGAGGGAAAGACAGAAGATAAGGGGAAGCAGGAAACGAAGGAAGGAAGGAAGGAAGGGAAGGAAGAGAGGAAGGAAGGGAAGGGAAGGGAGGGAGGGAGGGGAGGGAGGAAAGAGGGAAGAGGGAAGGAAGGAGAAGGGAGAAAAAAAAAGGAAAGGAAGAAGATAAGGTGAAGAAGGGAAGAATGGAAAGAAAGGTAGGACAGAAGGGGAAAAGAAAGGAAAGGGAGGGAGGGAGGAAGGAAACAAAGAACAGAAGATAAAGAAGGAAGGAAGGAAGGAAGAAGGAATGGGAAGAAGGGAAGGAGGAAGGAAGGAAGGAAGGAAGGAAGAGGAGGAGGAGGGGAGGGAGGGAGGGGAAGGGGAGGGGAGGGGAGGGGAGGGGAGGGGAGGGGAGGGGAGGGAGGGGGGGGGAGGGGAGGGGAGGGAGGAAAAACAGAAGATAAGGGAAGGAAGGATCAGAGCACTGTGGCTGCCCCATGAGCTACGGGGAAGCGGGGGGGGTGAAAGAGCCGCGCCTGGCCAGGAAGGCAGTGGGCTCGGGAAGAGAGGCGTGCTGCATCGGAAGGCCGGGCGGGGCTTGGTGCAGGGCCTCTGGGAGACCTCTTGGGGGGAACGGAGGGAGGGAGGGAGGACGCCCGGGCCCAAAACGGCTGTGTGGTGAGGGCCAAATCTCTGGCGACGGAGGGGTCAGAAGCAGGAGTCCTCTCTGCCTGCAACTCCTCCTGGGAAAGGCGGGGAGGCCTCTCCCAGGCGCAGTTGCTACGGCAGGCTCAGCACCAGCAGCACGGTGACGGAGTAGAGAAGGCGCCTCCTGCTTCTGCTCCCTCGCTCAAAGAGGCCCCTCTGTCTCTGTCAGTCAGGTTGGTGTTTCAGATTTTAAAATTTGGTGGAGCTGTGGCTGGCTCTGGGAGGGCCAGCAGCCATTGCCGTCACAAGTTGCGCCGTGAGACGATGGAGGAGCTCTCTTACATGCATGTGCGCTCCCCCCACAGCTGCATGCATGCGCTGTAATGGCTTCTCCTTTTATTAAGGATTTCTAAGTTGTTTTCAGTTTTATTTTATTTTTTATTATTGATGGTCACACCTTGTATGGTGAGGAGTTTTGTTGCCAAATTTGGTGGATATTGGCCCAGCAGTTCTTTTGTTTTTAAGCCACTCATTACGACATGAGCATTTTTATATATATAGATAAAGGATACCCAAACTATATGTTTACTCAAATGCAAGAGCCAGTGTGTTCCATAGGGCTCATTCTTTGATCTAGCCTTGCCCAACCAGGTAGCATACACACACCCAAGATGTGTGACACCAAAAATCTCTTATCACAATCAAATTCAATCATCACTGGTTCTTCTGACTTCTGAGAGTTTCAAGGGTAAAAAAAAACTTTGAGGACATTTTGTTAAGGAAGACTGTTCTACTACTTTTGACTTTGATTCATACATGTTCTTTCCTTTGCCATTATGTTAAAAATAGCACATCATATTTTATTTGAGCAAGTACCTTGATCTATTTTTATACTTATGTTGGCTGCCCAGCTGGTCAAAAGTCCTTTTTTTTTAAATCCCATTTCAATATTTATATCACAATAGGCTAGGTTTTTTTCTTGTTTTCATCATGAAACAAAGACTGTTGTGAATTTTTAATAAATGTATTGATCTGAGAATATGCACAATATGGTGTTACAAGGTCTTGACTGCAGTATTATCTCTTGCAGAAATTGTTTTGCACATTATCACAAAATAGAAGTAGCAATATAAATGTCCACCTTCTTCATTCTCACATAATTTCAAAAGTCTTCTTTGGATTTGGAAGCGTTACCACAAATTGTGTGCATTTTTCAATGATTTTTTACACACAAGCTTTTTTATGGAAAAAAATTAATTTGGTGTGAAACCTCCTTTTTGTGGGGGGGGGATCTGAAAATTTTGCAAAAGAAATTAACAAAATAGGTTGTTTCCTACACAAAAAATGTCTTTATGTGCAACAAAATAAGAGAGGACACAAAAATGAAATTTTCACTCAAAATGTTGCAAAATGCAAAAAGTTTTGCAGAGCTAAGCTGATCATTTTCTAAATGTATTTTTTCATGGTACTTCCTTTCTGGTCAAGATGAGACCATTTGTAACTTGTCTTTCCATCATTAGATGCAGGTAGAATTTGTCCCAGCTGTTGCGCATGATGGTTATAGGCACTGTTGAATTTCTCATGAATATCTGTTTTAAAATAGACTATCATACTGTATCAAGAGGAAAGTAGGCTGAATTAGACTGAGCATGACAGAGGACTAGAAGCAAAGAAAGAAAACTCATTGTACTCCTCATGGTCTCCTGATCCCCCAAACAGCTGAATACATTGCAAATAGCTTCAATGCATGGCAGCTTCTCATTCTCCATACCCTTTGGATCCCTTGCCCCCCCCCCCCCCCCAGCCTAAAACCAATCAAAATGACAGAAAATGCAAACTGAAAGCGATACTTTGGATCATTTGTGAATTACATTTGTGGCCAATTGCCCACCAAAAATTCAGCAATGCGGTCTGCTGGTCAGAGGGGGACAATTGGGATTTTTTTTTCAATAATTGCACATTTTTGAAAGGAAATAAAAAGTAATGAAAGGACCCAAGATTGAAATAAAGGGAGAAGAATACAATATATGGGGTTTTTTAAATGGGCATTTTCATGCTCTTGGTTCTTACAACATATGGCTTATATATTGGTGTGCAAAGGACGAGATAATGACTCCAATAAAATAGTGCCAGTATGTTGGGCATCTTTTTAAAGTTTTAGTTGCTAATTTGCAGTGCTTCAGTATAAGCAGCTGCATCTCAAGTTAATTATATTGCAAATGCCTGAAACATAAAAAATGAAGGGAATCCTTTCTTTAAGAAAAGGAAAGAGGCATCCCAAACTGGGATGATTAATGATGACATAAGAAAACAAGGCAATACAACTGGAGAGCACGTAATATAATCAGCAAAAAAACAGGAGACATGTCATAAGATGCTCAGTGGATGAATGATTTATTAATAAAAGGCCAAAAGGCCTATAGCTCTGAGTATGCTGTCAAAGGCCTTCTTCAGGGTTTGTTTGAAATTTAACTTCTGAAATTTTTGGATGTGTAAAGTTTCAGTTCATGAAATTTCTGAAGCTACATTTCAAACATCCCCTGAAAAGGCCTTTGAGAGCAGATAGGGGTGAAATGCATAGGTGCTTTAAAAAATCAATAAATCATTCATTCACTCAGACCCTTCAGATTTGTCTAATGTTTTCTACTGATATAGAAACAAGGCAACAGGAATTGCAATCAGGAACTGAGGGTGTGTGTGTGTGTGTGTGTGTGTGTGTGTGTGTGTGTGTGTGTGTCAGGAGCGACTTGAGAAACTGCAAGTCGCTTCTGGTGTGAGAGAATTGGCCGTCTGCAAGGACGTTGCCCAGGGGATGGCCAGATGTTTTGATGTTTTACCATCCTTGTGCTGGAGCTGACAGAGGGAGCTCATCCATGCTCTCCCCGGATTCAAACCTCCAACCAGTCAGTCTTCAGTCCTACCGGCACAAGGGTTTAACCCATTGTGCCACCAGAGGCTCCTTTAACTGAGAGAGTAAAAATCAAACCTTAATCATATGGTCATTTCTGGAAAGCAACGAGATCTGTATCTATTATAATTTTGCAGATGTGATCCAACAATCCGCATCCAGAGGTGTGGAAATAAGCATTTTCCTCTGTTTGTTTCATTACCAAAACATGTTGTTGTTCGTTTCATTATTCAATTGTTTCAAATCATTTCTCTTCAATTTTTAACTGCATTTTGTGTGGATTTTTCTGCCTTAATTTTCATGATTCCCATTTTATTTTCTCAGAATGCATGTGGCACTTCATTGTTCTGAAAGTGATGGACAGTATTTTCCCCGATGTTTTTAACAGAATGATACAACATCCCAGGCATACAGGACAAATAAACTGGGGTTGCCAGAAACCAGCTGGTGTTACTGGAGAAAGGTAGCCTCCATTGTAGAAAAAGTAATGAATGCAGACAGTTGGGGTAATAAAAACAAACCTATTTTTTATTCATGGCACTTGTTTTGTCAAATCCAAACAGAGTTCAACTAAATGAACCTTATTTGGTCCATTCATTCTGAAACAAACACAGTAGCAACATCAGCAGCTGGGTGAGTATATGAATACAATGGAGATGAGCCACAGTTAAACAAAACTGGAAATCCCTTAATTCAGTTTTGCTAATACAAACACTTTTCCTCGGTTCACAGAAACCAAAGTATAAGAGATATGAAATTGGTTTCAAACAGCTTCTGGTCTAGTCAGATTCCGTTCTAAGAGAAACTTGACTTTTCTTTTACTTTATAAGTATTTTAAGACAATCTATCCTCTGGCATACTTAAATAGGTGGATGACGACGACAATAAATATAATTGTCCTTCAAAAAACAATTCCAATTTCCTCAAGTGTTACAACATAGAGTCAGAGGTGTTTTTCAAATGGATATTCCAAAAACATGAGCCACGCTGCTGGCATTTATTTTAAAGAAAAACATTTGAAAAATATATTACCAAAACCATGGTGCTATAATAAAGAAAGAATATGTGTGCAACGACCAATAATAAATCTAATTCTCTAGAGCTCTGGATTTTTTTCTCTCTCTGAAGACTGATATAAAAACTTGAAGTGTTAATTAGTACTCATTAGCACTTCATTCCCTCAACCTCCCTCCTCCTTAAAAATAGCTGTGTTTTGTTACTCTACCTATCTGTCAAAAAGAGGTGTAATGAACTCATGTTCTATGTCTGTGTAATTTACTGATGCGCTAAAAAACCAAATCAATTTCCAGGTGAAAAATTCTGTTCTTGACCATTTTTTGTATGACTGCCATAGTACCTTGCAACGCTGGGCCTTGTGGAGTTTCGTCACCATGAAATTTGCCTTGAAAAATTGTAATATTAGTGAGCAGAATATGTGGGTGACAATTGCACGGTGGGGGTTATGGAAGACAGTTTATCATTTCTTTTTTTCTTTTTTAGTAAATATTTATTCATTAGTGTATGCAAGTTGTTTCACATTTTAAATGACCCCAATTCAGCAAGTAGAGGGTAAAAGACATCCTATTTTACAGATGGTTGAAGTAGAGTCTGTTTAGTCTACCAACTTCTTCCTCTAGATCAGTGGTTCTCAATCTGTGGGTCCCCAGGTGTTTTGGCCTTCAACTCCCAGAAATCCTAACAATGTGTAAACTGGCTGGGATTTCTGGGAGTTGTAGGCCAAAACATCTGGGGACGACCCACAGGTTGGGAACCACTGCTCTACAGGCACTTCTTTAGTGTATGGAGAGGAGGAGGACTAAGACACTTTAACTACTTGGAATCCTGGCCAATCCCACTTGTACTATATGGCTGCCACATTACATTTCAAATGAACACTGGTGCCAGCCATTTTTAACGTAACTGTATTTTAAATTGCTTTTAGAGAATCTGTTGTAATGTTTACTTGTATTTTAGTTAACTACGTCTTATTGGATTGTTTTGTTTTATTTTTCATCACAATGTTTAATTCTTTGTCATCAGCTCACTGTTATTACTGTTGCTTTATTGTGTATTATTTTGATATGTTTGTACTCACCTGAGGCATTGAATGCTTGCCTTTTTGTATATCTAAACCACCCCGAGTCCCTTCAGGGAGAGGGCAGTCTAGAAATAAAGTATTATTATTATTATTATTATTATTATTATTATTATTATTATTTGCTTGGTTCTGAAGGATTACGGGCCCCAACGTCAGCCATTTCCCAAGCATTGGAGTAACCCCATTTGAATGAAGTGCCTTCAATTTTCTCCTTGGTTTAATTGCTTTCTTTCTAGTTGTGGATGAAATCCGCTCTAAGCCATTTGGATAAGATTCAAGAGACAAAAAGCAAGAGTGGGCAGGAGTGGGAAGGTGAAACTACTGGTTTGTTGCAAGAATAAAAGGCACCGTATAAACTAATGCTTTTTTCCTTTATTGAAAGAATTGGGAGTCTGCTGAGGCAGAAGGAACATGGAGTTGTTCTATTAAAGATTTAAAAAAGAGGAAGCATATGAGTTTCTCCTCACTGCGTGCAACAGAATGTGATCATGATGGGTGAGATTTTGAAATGCCATTGGAAACAACCTATCTCCGGGGCTGGAAAGCCCATTTGTATTTTTTCAATGTACCGTAGGTTTCTGCAGGAGAATACAAAGGCCTCCACCATCATGGCGTCTCTTCATCTCCTTCATGCAGCAGCCCGGGAAGTTCATGTTGTGGCAGAGGGAGGGGGAAGAAGGGATGTTAAAGCTGGATTTCTGCTTCTGACTTCATCTGTCTTCCCCCCGCCCCACAAAAAAACCCTCTTTTAATTCTCCATTGCTGCAGCAGCCTTTAGAGGGCCACTTATGTTGATCCAGATGTAAGGGAAAGCCTCCCCCTCATCCTCTTGCTCTCCCTTGATTAAAACATTATAATTCTTTAATCTCTCTGAATTGAGTTTCTTCCTTAAAAGCTGCCTGTTCTCTTTGATACACCAAAGCAGTTCTTGTCAGGCTGCCAAAGGAGGCCGGGTGGAGTGTCACACAGCTCAAACTTTTACAAGCTGAGTGAGCAGGAAAACAAGCAAAGGCACACACAGACAGGCACAGAGAGAAAGGAGGAGAGAGCGAGAAAGAAAGAAAGAAAGAACTTGTTCGCTAATGGTGAATTTTCAGGATATTTGCTGAAAAGAATGAAATTTTCGAGTTCTAGTATTATTGTTATTATTTGAAGGGAAGCTTGGCCATAAATATCATTAACTTTTTCCAGCTAACTTGATGGCCAACCTCTATGAAACTTGGAAAGAGAGAGGAAAAAATGACGTCACCACAATCTGGGGGTGCCTTTCGCACTGCCTGTTGGAGCCGAAAGAAAAGAACAGGGCAATAAAACAACGGCTGTCTCTGTCTCCTTCGTTAAACACGGCACTAATTGGATGTTAATTTCTCTTTGCTCTTCTTGCTGTTTGATTGTAAGAACTCTCTCACACACACAATCTCTCCTCCCTCCCTCCCTCTCCCCCCCCCCCTTTCCCTTCCATAACCAGGCTCTTTGCCAGTCACAGGGAGTCTCTACTGTACATTCCCTCCCAATTGTGGGCTCAAACAATTCAGAAGCTGGGCAGTATTAAAAGAGAAGGAGGGGGAGGGAGGGATTGGATTTGGGAGTTTCAAGAAGCTCAACATTTTCCTTTCATTGCCCTGTACAGAGTTCGGTGTATCCCGCCCCCCCTTTTCTCTCCCTTGTGTTCTGTCCAGTCTCCTTGGCAGCATGAAAAAAGAAAATTAACCCAACCACTACCCAGCCCATGTGTTGAAGCAGGCATTTAGGGGAGCCAGTGCAGAGGCAGGAAAGCTGTTGCTGGCTTTGCTGCCCGGGTCACCCTTAGAGGGTGTTTTGTGTTTCTTTGCTTGAATTCTAGAGGGTGCTTCATGCATCAGATTGATCCATAATGTGCCCACACACACACTCACTCACGCATACATAGAGTGGTGCAGTGGAAAGAGGTAAGTTAAGAACAGACTTAAGGGAGAGCAGGGGGAGATTTACCAAGGGAGATGGTGGGTGGGTGGAGAAGAAGAAGAAGAAAGGGAGGGGAAGGAGCGGGAGGAGGCGGTGGAGGGTAGAAATGTGGGAGTAAAGTCCTACCTGGGATCGGTGCCAACTTCCTGCACTGGGCTGCAGACCCGCAGCTTTGAGCAACCCACCAGAGGCGACTTTTCTCTCTTGTCACAATTCCAAGAGGCAAAAAGGAAGGCAACGGGAACAGGTACAACAGATGCAAAGCTGCCTTGTTTTCCAGGGTGCTGGTGGGTAAATTCTCTTCTCTTACCTCCCCCCTTTCACATCCATATTTCAGCCAGCTGTATTTTTAAAGGATTCTTTCAAACAGGGTTGATTGAGGCTTTTCTTTCTTTTTGTATAATTTTCTAAAAAAAAAATGGGATAGGGTGAATTTTTCTTGTCAGTATCCCTTCTCCGTTAGGATTAACATGCAGAAGATGCGCCTGTCACTTTGCTTTCTGTCAGTTGCCTGTTCAGGGATGGGAGACGGCTTTGTTCCGTGCTGCCTGGGAAGCTGTGCCAACTCTGACTTGGCAGCCAAGCCAGAGTGGGCAGGGAAAGAACGAGAAGAGACTGAGCGAGAGAATGATTGCCGAGGCTTCCAAAGTGGGAAGTGTCTGTAGGCCCATTTCCGAACGAGGCAGCTATTCACTCTGCCCCTTTTCTTTCTCTGTGTCTCTCGAAGGTTGGCACAGACAAAATGGAAAATGTGCACAGGAGGGAGGGGGCATCGTCTGTTCTTCTCTCTCATCTTTTAGTGGGTTGTTTTGTTTTTTGTTTTTAACAAGCCTCACCTGCCTCGGTCTTAGCTCTAATTCTCAGACTGTAGACGAAGCAATCACAAAAGCAAAATGCTTGTTGCATAACTAAGATGGTTTTCGCTTGGGTCCTTTTTTCCCGCCCTCTATACATTTGGCTGTATTAAAGAACTCGCTTCCAGCATCTCGAGATCATGAAAGTAGGAGCCAAGATTTATTTTATGTGTATACAACATCGGGATGACAGTGTGGGGAAGAGGGGAAATTAGCCATTTGTTTTAATCTGTTTAGAGAAAAAGCAAGGGGTGTTGTGTTGGTAGTTTTGTCCTTAGCAGGGTTGTTTGTACAAAACTTTTCATGCACTAGCTCCTAAAGAGTCAATGGATTGGGATGGGTTTTTTAAAAGTATTTTTTCAAAGACTGTTAATAAAAGGCATCCATCCCCAAGGCACGCTACCCAAGGGTTCCAAGTGCTGGAATTCCTGCCAGCTTCCCTTTGTGCCAGCCTCTTGTCGGCCTTGGCGTCTCATTCGGACGAAGCCTGGCATGCAGGCACCGCCCATTTCTTGGCGCTGAGCTGCTATGAGAAGGAAAAGGGAACGTAAGAGAAGGGGAAAAAGCTGTCTTACTCAAAGTGGCCTTTCTCCGGAAAAAAAATCCTGATGATTGTCCAGATAATCGGAACTAAAGCCAGCGGGTGAGCAACAAAAACCTTCACGGCACATCTCTTTCTGGTACGAAATCAAATGTAGCTCTTTTTTAAAATGTTTGAAAATGCCATGTTATGTGTCCAAATGTTCTGGCACTTGCTACCGCGAAACCCTCGCTTCCTTGCTCTAGCCTACCCGCTTTTTGTATGGCGAAACAAGTATTTTCTTTTAAAAGAAAACAAGCAACCCCGATGGTAGATTTTGTTATCTATTTCCTTTGCCCGTGCCTAGATCAGGATGATCTTCTGATTCTCAAACCATTCTGGTTCTAGATTTTGGAAGGGTAGATTTGAAATATTTTTTGGATTTTTGCCATCCTGCGCAGGAGAAAGGAAAGAGTTGAATCATATCAGACTTGCAATTCAACATGGCAGCCCTTGCTAAAAGAGTATGGTTCTGCAATGTTGAAAGACGTGGCAAGAAACATTCCTTTTTGAAGACATGAAATTCGGCAAAACTGATGTAACAGAAGAACCGGATAATAATAATTCATCACTCTAGGGAATGATTTGGGGAAATTTCATGTGGAGACCTCAAGAATGAGGAAAATTCATTTTAGCATTCTGTAAATGTTAACTAGTTATAAACTGTTCCGTGTTTGTTATTTTGATAAAGATATGTTATTTGTTGCCTTTTTCTTTTTGCTCACCTAACAAAGATTTGCAGCTTGAAAGGTGAGGAAAGAATCATTCTCTGGGTGTTAGATGGATTCTGGTCTCCTTCAGGTTTTAGAGGATGACATCATTACTTGGGAGAAATCCAGATACATCATGATGGTGTCTGGAAAGAGTGAAATGGATGCTTTCTCAAAGTGCCCACCTTGACTTATTTTGAAGGCTTGCCCTTTGTTAAGGATAGCTTCTTCCTCCATTTGCTATGGGTGTAAACTCTGGTAGACCATAACCCAACAGATCCCCTCCCAATTTACATTGATGGAATGGAGCTCAGGGGCTGGGCCGTGTGTCTGTAAATTTGGCCTCTTTATGTCAAGCTTAATTTAGGCCCCTGTTGCCTATAACAAAAGAATATTGTTTCCCCGTGAGTAATAGATTCCTCTCATCTGTAACTGCTTCTTTGTAAATGTTTTGTTATTAACAAAGGCCCCCAATGGGTGGCAATTTTTACCCTATGCTCCAGAGGAATAAATAGAAAGAAACATTAACATGGCTTGCTAGATGCATATGCTGAATGCAAAAAAAGAAATCCAGTTCTGGGTGATCCAATAGTGCAGAAACTTCAACTAATGCTCTTATAGACTGCTCCAGGGAACTCCCCAATCTTTCTAAGAATGAGGCCCTTTGCTTCTGTTTCTGGGTCCCTTGCTTTCCATTGTGGTGGAGACAAAGTTCTGGCACTAGCGTTCCTGGCTTCCCACGAGGCTTAGTTTAAGATAAAGATGTATCTTTGTAAAATGGAGACCCATCATCCTCTTTTCTCAGCAGTTCTTTTCTCAGTTAACAGTTCATGTACAAGAACCTGAATTTGAATTGTTAGACATCTCTTTCTCCATGCATCCAATTTGTCCTTTTTAATTTATGTATTCTAAATGCCTCCGTCTTTAAGGATTTAGAAAAATGGACTCTTATTTTGCAATCCGTCCAGTATTTAATTTTGTGAACTAAGGTTAGTGCCACCAGGCTCATAACTTTGCTGTGCATCCACCATTTTGAACCATGATGTCCATGTTCTTCTGCTATCTCTAATGGAAGCAGGAACTACATTGTGTTTTTAATGTCCTCAGTAAATTATGCCAACAACTCTTTCTACAATACCTGAATGTATGATGGCCTCAACAAGACAAAATATGACTGCACACAACTGGAAGCAAATGTCTCGTTGGAATGTATACTAGCCACAATAGGTATATGTTCAGAGATGCTACACTATTGGTGAGAAATGCAAGTGGGAGATATACAAGTGCAATTCATTTCTGGCTTCCAAAAGTGTCTGCTTAGTAACTGTAGAAGCAGAACTAGACTAGATAGGCCTTTGGTTTGATCTAGAATTACTCTTTGCACGTACTCATGCTCAACATTCCTTTTCTTAAAATAATAATTTAAAGATTTATATTGCACTGAAACACTATTTTGCTGTCACTGTATCTAAATTATATCAAGTGGTGATCACTGAATCCAGTCCAGTTCAGGTAGTGTCAAAACACCAAATACCTCATCACACTAGAGAATGAATCCACTTTAAATCTGGTTGCTGCCTCTTGCAGAATTCTGGGGTTTGTAGTTTAGGGAGGAGCCTTTAACAGCCTTTCTGCCTCCCCAGAATTCTGCAGGAGGCAGAAAGCGGATTTAAAGTGGATTCATTCCCTAGTATGATGAAGTGGTAAGATTGCCTGGGAGGGAAAAGTTACTATACTTTTTATTTTATTTTTTATTTTATCACTTGATAACAATATGCAAAAAAGCTTGCTTAGGCCCGAAGTGACTGGATTTGATTCAAAATCGTCAGACTTTTCAATTGGTGGAATTCTCATTTCGAATTCCTTTCTTCAAACTATTGCATCATCCCTTCTATTCAGTCATGCATGTGACTTTTTTGCTAGCTTTAAAAGGTTGTTGGTTCAATTTTTCTCTGAATAGTATCCCAGTATGTACATCAAAAATGAGGCAACATTCATCATCACCTGCAGCTGAACCCACACTGAGCCCTTGCCTTGCTGATGAGAGCAGGAATATGGGTTTTCTTTCTTCTCTGTGTGCATTTGTAAGATCTAGAAATGCTGGATAAGTTCATTTACTCTACATTTTAATATGAATTCATTCTTCCTGGACTAGTGTGCAGATGGAGACACAGTTATTGTTTGGATTCTATGTCTCTCCAAATTTTGCAAATATTGTGCACAAAATGTATATTTAAGGGACTATGTATTCAAAAATGCATATATCTTAGGAATTTGTGTGCAAAGCTAAATATATTAAGGAAAGATGCATACAAAATTTATATTTAGAGAGAGTTGGGGAGGGATGTGAATTTTCATGTAGTTTTTTAAAACTACACGACATGGTTTCCAAAGTAGAATTTGGATGCCTCTTCCTCGTATATAACTTATATGCACAATTCTGTTATTGTCATCTTCTTCCATGCCAAAACACTTGCCTATGATTTATTTTTCCCCACTGTGGTTTTATTTCATGTAAAGGCCATTCTTGTAAACCAATTATTTTCTCCCTCTTCTTCTTTACTATGCTTTGTTCCTCTCCATTTTAAATCTTTTTCATATTCCTCTTTTTATATACACACCTTTCCTCCATTTTCTCCAACAGTCTGCCATGGAAACCAGATTTGAGAACCCAAAGTACTCTTTCATTGCTACCATTCAGTTCTTGGAAATATGTGATAGAAAAGAAAGAGTCTGTGAACAAATGGAGAAGGCTGGATAAATCTTTCATACCAGATAATCACTTCCATTTTACAAACATGTTTGTTCACCTCCAAATATGAAACTTGAATAATGATTCGGGATATCTACTGTTATAAAACAAGTTAGCTCAGGTGGAGGAAACACAGCACTCTCTATACTGTCATCTGCTAAAGGTCTGGCACTTTCATATCGATTGATCTTATTAGACTTTCCCTACTCCGTTACGTTAATAGTTATAGATCCTGCCCAGAGGTAGTATAATTCTAGAATTGTAAAAGCCTGTGATTTTCCAGAAAGATACTAACATAGTTCATTAATTCAGAATTAGAGGATTATATTCCAGAATGTAGAAAAGTTCCTTTTTGACTATAGTTCCCAGAAGATTTTAGCTGGAATGTATTATTGATATATTAGCTTGATATATATTCATTTTTGGAAATTGTAGTCCAACAAGTAACTTTTTGAAGTTCTCTTACATTTCCAGTCCTATTTTGTGCTTTAATCTCATTCCTACAGAAAGGCAACATTCAGCATAATTGGAATAGTTCTTTCATTCACTTCTCAGTGTTACCAAACATCCATGTGAAATATTTCACCACTTTAGTGAACTTGTGCTGGATTTCCCGCAGCTATTGGGAAAGCAATTTTTCTCAGACTGTATCTTCCATAGCTACATTGACTGGAGGATTTTAGTAGATGTACTTCAAAAAAGGTAATTTTTTCTTCTGCATTAAAGGGACACAGCATAGTGTGTAGTACAAGACAACATCTGGAATACATTCCAAGACATATACACACCTGTGGATGCTTGAAAATGTGGGTAATAGAGAACCCTATATTTT